TTAATGCTAACCAAATTTAACAAAGTTAAATTAAAGCTAACCTAACCAAACCAAACCTGAAATTTCTACAGCAAACTTTTACTTATAGCTCGGCCAGAAGCAGTGTGTGTGTGTGTGTGTGTGTGTGTGTGTGTGTGTGTGTGTGTGTGTGTGTGTGTGTGTGTGTGTGTGGCGTAGTTACAGTGTGTGGGTGGTGGCAGCGGGTCACCTCAGTCCGACGGGGAAGACCCGAAAATGGTAAACCGGTTTGGTATAGACACATTGTTTAAACCTCAGTGATGTTCTGGACCACGAGACGCTGAGGGACCTGTGAACCTTAATTGTCTCAGCACCTGTAGACCTTGTCTCAGCACCTGTGAACCTTGTCTCAGCACCTGTGAGCCTGGCCACTGGTCTCACTCCTGCAGGGAAGAACAGTACTGTACCTCCTGAACCTGGCACAGGACCCACACACAGTGCAGTATGTGTTGTGTTCTATCATCCAAACACGGAGTTTGATGCAGCAGCGGAGGGACCCAACCACGTGTCCAGGGCTGGTGCCATGTTGAACATTTCCTATAGTAGTCCGTAAGGTTCATAATAATCGTCAGGCTTTCAGGAGATACACTCTAAAATGCCTGGGTGTAGTCACGGCAGATACACTGTTATATGCTTGGGTGTAGTCAAGGCAGATACACTGTAAAATGCCTGGGTGTAGTCAAGGCAGATACACTGTAAAATGCCTGGGTGTAGTCAAAGAGCAGATACACTGTAAAATGCCTGGGTGTAGTCAAGGCAGATACACTGTAAAATGCCTGGGTGTAGTCAAGGCAAGTCTGTATAATTATCTAAGACTGTCAACACAAACACTCACACCGGTAAATACCTCAAGTTGTAAGATCTGTTACGGAGCATTACTAGAAAAACAAAGTTATATTTCACAACACTAATGATGGACAGTTAACGCTCCCGTCTCTTGTAACTGTTGAAGCTAAACAAATATTATCAAGTCTATATTTACTTACATTTGTCAAAACTATCTATAAACGATACAATTGCTGGTTATAGTTTTTCTCGGGATGAACGTGACTCTGATTTGGTAGTTAAGACGTCTTCTAATTAACCCTTAAATGATTGATGCGGTCAATAGTGCCTTGGTGTGTGTGTGTGCATAACCTAAGGGCTTCCTCAATAGCCCCTGTCAGCCAATCATAAACCTCTGCGGAGCTACGTCATAACAAGTAGGCGGAGCTTTGAGCATATTCGCCATTTTTTGTCATCTCTGCCGCCTCTCTCACTACACGGATGCTGGATAACCATTTTTGTTCGTTTAGTAACACGTACAGTATATCCTCCTGAATAATTCGTTAGTGGTTGATTTACTTAGGTTAGGTTTGTGTAGGTAGTGTTATGATAAGTTATAGAAAAAAGTCAACTGAGCGTTAAGTAACAGCCAAGATGACCTGACCTGACCTAACCTAAGACTCTGGGGGCAAGATAAGCAGAACACATTAACATAAGCAGCAAGGTCGACCGTCACAGCAGCAAGGTCGACCGTCACAGCAGCAAGGTCGACCGTCACAGCAGCAAGGTCGACCGTCACCAGGTCGACCGTCACAGCAGCAGGTCGACCGTCCGCCAAAGGTCGACCATCGGCAGAAGGTCGACCGTCTGCAGCTAAGGTCGACCGTCGGCAGCAAGGTCGACCGTCACAACTGCTAAGGTCGACCGTCACAGCAGCAAGGTCGACCGTCACCACAACAAGGTCGACCATCACAGCAGCAAGGTCGACCGTCACAGCTGAAAGGTCGACCGTCACAGCAGCAAGGTCGACCGTCCGCTACAAGGTCGACCGTCACAGCAGCAAGGTCGACCGTCCTGCAGCAAGGTCGACCGTCACAGCAGAAAGGTCGACCGTCACAGCAGCAAGGTCGACCGTCACAGCAGCAAGGTCGACCGTCACAGCAGCAAGGTCGACCGTCACAGCAGAAAGGTCGACCGTCCTCTAGCTACGGTTCTCCCTACACACACACACAAGGTGGACAGAATCTGTGTCCAGGTAAGAAAGGTAATATATATACAGTGAGGGAGGTGGAGGTGGGTGATAGGAGGTGGGGAGTGAGGGCAGGGGAGGAGGGAGGGGGTGAGGTAAGGGCGTGAGGGAGGGTGGGAGGTGGGTGATGGGGGGGTGGGGATGAGGCTGGGAGGAGGGAGGTGGGAGTAAGGGCGTGAGGGAGGGTGGGAGGTGGGTGATGGGGGTGGGGAGTGAGGGCGGGAGGAGGGGGTGAGGTGGGGCGTGAGGAGGGTGGGAGGTGGGTGATGGGGGGTTGGGGAGTGAGGGCGGGGAGGAGGGAGGGGGTGAGGTAAGGGCGTGAGGAGGGTGTAAGACGGAGGCGTGGTGGGGAAGGAAGGGGGGTTACTAGGGTCACCTTTCCTGCCCAACCTCTCTCACACCTCTCTCTTCCTCACCCTCAGGTACCAACACCCGCGTCCTCAGGTGGTGTGTGTGTGTGTGTGTGTGTGTGTGTGTGTGTGTGTGTGTGTGTGTGTGTGTGTGTGTGTGTGTGTGTGTGACAGTTCCGGGCATATATTCAATTAACCCGGGGATTCCCCATCACAGTGTAGCTCCGCCCACCTGCCCATCTCGTGCTGAGCGTTTCACCTGCCCTACACCACACCTATACCTACCTTCCCTGACCACACCTACACCTGTCTTCCTACACCACACCTACACCTGTCTTCCTACACCACACCTACACCCACTCACCTTCCTAGACCACACCTGTATCCATTCACCTTCCTGGGAGAGGGGGTGGGTGAGGTGGGGAGAGGTGTGTGGGTGTGTGGTGGGGGGGAGAGGTGTGTGGGTGGGGTAGGGAAGGGTCTGGGTGGGGAGGAGTGTGTGGGTGGGGTAGGAAGGGTTTGGGTGGAGGAGAGGTGGGTGGGTGGCAGGGAATGGGTGGCAGCAAGTATCCTTGTGATGTGAGATAAAAAACTGGACTGTGTTGAGACGAGCACCAGGAAGTGTTTGGGGCACCCTGTGTGTGAGCTGAGGCACCACTACACCACCACCACTACCACCACCACCACCACCACCATCACCACCACCACCACTACCACCACTACACCACCACCACCACACCACCACCACACCACCACCACCACCACCACTACCACACACCTCACCACCACCACCACCCACCACCACCACCACCCACCACCACCACCACCACCACTATCACCACCACCACTACCACCACCACCACCACCACCACCACCTACACCACCACTACCCTATCACCACCACCACTACCACCACCACCTACCACCACCGCCACCACCACCACTACCACTATCACCACCACCACCACCACCACCACTCACCACCACTACCCACCACCACCACTATCACCACCACCACTACCCACCACCACTACCACCACCACCACTATCACCACCACTACCACTATCACCACCACCACTACCCACCACCACACCACCACCACCACCACCCACCACCACCCTATCACCACCACTACCACCACCACCACACCACCACCACCACTACCCACTATCACCACCACCAACCACCACCACCACCACCACCACCACTACCACCACCACCATCACCACCACCACTACCACCACCACCACTACCACCACCACTACCACCACCACCATCACCACCACCACTACCACCACCACACCACCACCACCACCATCACACCACACACCACTATCACCCACCACCTACCACCACCCACCACCACCACCGCTACCACCCACCACTATCACCACCACCACTACCACCACCACTACCACCTACCCACCACCACCACCACTACCACCACCACCGCTACCACACATCTCACTGCTACCACCACCACCACCACCACCACCGCTACCACCACACCACCACCACCACCACCACCACCCTACCACCACCACCACCACCACCACCACTACCACCACACTACACCCCACCACCACTACCACCACCACTACCACTATCACCACCACCACTGCCCCACCACCACCACCACCACCACCACCACTACCACCACCACACTACCACCACCACCACCACCACTACCACCACCCTACCACCACCACCACCTACCACCACCACCGCTACCACCACTATCCTCACTGCTACCACCACCACTACCACCACCAATACTAACACTACCCGCACTGCTATCAGTACTACCACTACTCTCACAACGACCACCACGACCGCACATAAAATCACAGACACATAAACACTCATAAAAACACAAACACTCACAGACACATACACACGGTCGCGGACACACGGTCGCGGACACGGTCGTCAACACCACAACCAAACCCGGAGTTAACGAGCTGTGTGTCAGGACTGTGAGGCATATACCAGGGAGGCCGGGTATGTGTGGTAGGTGCGGTGGTGGTGGTGGTGTGGTAGGTGGAGTGATGTGGTAGTAGTGGTGTTGTAGCAGGGATGGTGTTGGTAGTGTGGTGCTGGGGTGGTGGTGACAGAGTGTGGTAATAAGGTAGTAGTGGTGTGATAGAAGCGATGTGGTACAGGAAGTAGTTGTGGTGGAGGAGGCGGAGGGAGCCCACAGGCTGTTAATGTCGTAACCCTGTGATATTTCGACCAAAAGTCCAACGTTGTCCTCTCTGTCAAGAACAAAACGAGTTCCATTTTTTCCCACAATTCTGATCTTAAGTAATGGTATAGGGGGAGGGGAGACTTACTCAATTATACACAACTAGGGAGAATGAGGGTTTAGTATTGTGAGCAGTACTACCTGATCTTACAACGTGTTACCTGTACAGATATGACTTAGCATTACCATAAGATACACATCATCACACATAAGTATTATGGTGTGTTTACCTGCCAGTACAGCAACATACGTGGCTGATGACACGAAACATGAGACAAGTAAGGCCCTTCTGAACATGTTACATGTGATGCCCTCCTGAATACGTCAAACTTATAATTATTACAAGAAAGTAGTAAGGTGTTAAAGACAGACCTGGGAGAGCGGTGGAGGTGGAGGGTAGAGGAGGTGCTGACGGGGAGGCAACTGTGGCGGGTGTTGAGGGGGACGCTTGTTGTTGAGGCGCCATCACTCTCACTGACCTGTGGAGAAAGAAAGATTTAAACACCTTAGTTACTTTCTCTCGTATACGCGATGATGACGCTGGCGCCTTCATCCATACCAATACACACTGTGAGGCCTGACATAACCACATACAGTATATATAGCCAAGAGTGTGAATATTTGCATTACGACACTATTAATGTCCCCATCTGTTGATGTGTAAGGTCTGCCACAGTGAGGAAAGCGTTGGTGATGTAATATAAGTTTTAATCAACTGAATTCCACGAAAAAATTTTAAGTCAGTGTGTGTACATTTTTCTGAGACATCCTGTATTGGAGAAGTCTAGTGTGTTTGTTATGGTAATATAACTGGTAAGTGATCTATGGAATGTATAATATAGTCTTAGAATATAAAGGGGAGGAACTATCATGTTAAAAGCTGGAGGTTATAATGCTGATAGAGACGTGAGAGAGAGATGTGAGAGGAGAGACGTGAGGAACAAAGGAGGTGAAAAATGAACATCTTTTGACTTGTGTAAACCACGGGGTGACCAATGACGTTATTGCAGCTTCAACTGATAAGAGCGAGGGGGAGGGATGCTGTTGCACTGCATTACATTAACCTAACCATGGAAACAGTAGCAAAAAGTATTAAAATACTTGTTACATTGTGTTGTTGTATGTTGTGCTGCAGAGTAGTACGTTGTAGAGGTGTTGTGATGCAGGTTGTTGTGGTAGAGTGTAGTGTGTGGTAGGTTACAACACTTAGGTATATGATGAGTGTCTTCATTAGTAGCTCGGTACAGTAACTACAACATAACAATAGGCTATCAATAATACACAAGGGCTTCCCACCACTCTCACCTTGTGTGTGTGTGTCAGACCACTAATAGGAGGAACATTCCATGGTGTTATTCTAGTATTACCGCGTATTAGGGAGTCTCAGGAATAATTTTACTTCCAGGAGACGCCACAACACTCACGTGGCCAACACACTCACGTGGCCAACACACTCACGTGGCCAACACACTCACGTGGCCAACACACTCACGTGGCCAACACACTTGAGCGATCACCTGAAGAGTAGACACAACATCTTACAGTATTTCACATCATACAACATACAGTACACACTAACGCTAACGTAAGAGTGAGTAGGACCGTCTTATGGCCAGGTGAGTGTGTTGGGTGCCGTATAAACATGTGGGAGATCGTTCCATTATGTGTCTCCCGTTTATCCAAGTTTATACGTGACATTTCATGACTAAACCTCCTTGGATGTGAGTGTCGTAATAACTCAGTGTACCTCATGTAGTTCTGTTCAAGTTCTTTTTGTTGATGATTTGAACTTTGCCATTTTCCCCAGTGCTGAAAATGTGAATCTTTGCCCAAGGCCTCCCTCCATCCTCCAGATTTTCCTCGCTTGAGCTTATACAGCGAGTGAAATGCTAGACCTCCTCCCTCCTTTTCTTCCTCGCTCTTTCCTTCACTCTTCCCAGTGACATTAATAATTCAAATTGGAGAACAAGCGATCACCTCACTTATCACAAGACTTACGGACCTACAGAGGAATTATCCAATGATGTTCTCGACCCGCTTGCGGCATGAGATTTGTCTTGCGGCCATAAATACTGAATAATATTAACCTAAGAGCACGTGCTTCTCTCTCAAGGAACTCAGATAAATCAAGCATCAAGTGAAGTCCTTGATGCGTGATAATGATGCATAATGTACTGTACAAGGAAACGACCAAGACAGTACTTCCTACCTGCACAATCTACAACACGAGTGAAGTCAAATAAAAATAAATTATAACCCTTATGTTTATCACACAAGGTCTGTCCAACTCGTTTAATAAAATTTTCAAGAACGTGCATGTTAAAACTTCGAGATATTTTACAATGATCACATTATCATTATTAAACTCTATCTGTCTGTCTTGGCCTTGTCTAAAAATATGTTGAATTAAATCTATTATATAAATTATCACCGACGTTTTTTCTTTTTCTTTTTTTGGATGTTAATTATACGTGTGGATTATGTTCTATCTCTCCAGGACTTTGATGCCGTTGTCACCAAACCTTCACTGATAACAATAACAGATGGTTGTTGCCTATGGTGATAACCCCAGTCCTTTATCGTTCCTCACCTAACTTAACCAAACCAAACAAAGGATAACTTAACCAAACCTAACCAAACCAAAGCTAACTTAACCAAACCTAACCTAACCAAACCAAAGCTAACTTAACCAAATCAAACCAAACCAAAGCTAGCTTAACCAAACCAAACAGAACAAAGCTAACTTAACCAAACCAAACCTAACCAAACCAAAGCTAACTTAACCAAACCTAACCAAACTTAACCTAACCTAACAAACATCTGCTTCACTTAACACCACGTGGCTCCTCCTGCCAAACACTGCCCTGTACACACACACACACACACACACACACACAGGGATAGCAATGCATTATGTAATGGTTCATTGCTGAGCCTCTCCACTCTTGGTCAGTGTTTAATTTGCCCCTGAAGGTATTTGTAAGGTGCTGGAATGCTGTGTGTGTGTGTGTGTGTGTGTGTGTGTGCGTGTGTGTGTGTGTGTGTGTGTGTGTGTGTGTGTGTGTCATTCAACAACATCGTCAATAATGAAACATAATTGTCTCAGCCAAACAATCCTGGCTGAACTATGCGGGTTATACTGTAAGCTTTAACCTGAGGAGGGGGGGGAGGAGGGGAGGTTAAGATCAAAGGTTCAAGCTCGTTCAAAGTTCAAAAATGATTAGAATGAATAACTGTAGAAGGATGAGTTACAACACTGATCACAACACACGCATCACAGGTGTAATGGAATTGTGTTTATATACTCCACAAAATGGTGCATTGTGTATGGTGTAGTGTGTATGGTGTATATGGTGTATGGTGTATATGATGCATTGTGTATGGTGTAGTGTGTATGTATGGTGTGTATAGTGGAGTAGGAGACAGATCTGATCGTGGCAGTCTTGGTGATTATGAACTGTAGGCCTGAGTGATACACACACACGCACGCACACACGCACGTACACACGCACGCACACAAATCCGAGTACATACACGAGCACACAAATTGCACATACACACAGTGAGTACACATACACTATATATATACACACTGCACTGTCCATACACACACACACGCACACTGTACTAGACAGAAGAAATACAAGCACCACTAATAAAGGTGAGATCAACAGGTAATGAGGAGATCTTAACGCACCTGGTGACAGAGGTCAGGTAGAGGCAGGTGTGCTTCTTATAACACACACACACACTATAGTTCCAATATCTGGTCGGTCGCTTCAGGTGATCGAGTTGTTTTCAATGTAATTTGGGTATTGTTAGCACACATATAGAGCGGGTCTTCCCTCCCGCCAGTAATCTTTTGCTTCACTTCTAAACTTGGCCTTGGTTTCCAGGGTTTAGTATTAGTCTCCGTTATCTGTTTAGAAAAACGCACTATTGTAGCAGAACCTCACGTAAATTATCAACTCCTAACATTACACTATACAACACAAGGTATTTATTGTGTAGTTAACTTTATCACTTTGTATCTGCGGAGATTAATTTATGGCCACGATTTATCACCTTATGCGAAACACAATATTATATGATCTGTCTGTCCCGGGTGCTACCAAGGCCTGGCAGGCGGCGGCTGTCTAAACGCGTCCGTTCCTGGCCACTGCCGTGTGCACACTGGAGCCTGAAGGACCCGTCTCGAGCCTCGGCTGCCACCCTCACGGCCATCCTCGCCCCGATCTCACGCCCGCCTCACCATTCACGGCACAACCTACTTATGTCAGACACCTATCATCAACCCTTAATAAAAACGATAATACATGGCCGAATCTTTGAGTCCACAAGTCAGTTATTTGGGTTTGTCTCTCTAGATAACAGAGGGTGGATGAGCAGGGTCTATATACAGTATTGTGGTTGAAAACATTTTGAGTGGAGCATCCTCAGTAAAGTGGATCGGCCACATCGCCAGCACCATTGATATAGTGCAACCTGCAAGGATCCCCGACCTCCACTTACAACATATGTCTCTCTCTCTTTCTGTGGGGATACATCAAGACAGATTGTGGCATAACATCATTACCAAACGGATGCTGCTCGTACCTGTACAACACTCACACGGTAGATGCTGCGAAAGATGTCACACAGAACATGGCGACACACCACTCTGGCTGTAACAACGAGGAGCTCTCACACACACACACACACACACACACACACACACACACACACACACACACACACACACTCAACATTTACTTTCCTAATGTAATTATGTCAGCTGCCTTTGTCAGGTTTGGGTTGAGCGGTTATTGCTTCTCTCTTTCTGTGCCTCGTGGCCCCACGGAGGAGGGGCCGTCTGATGACCGACCCTACAGTATATTCGCGTCAGGTTTGTTTTATATATACACCAGGGAGTTTAATTATAGTCGACCCATGACGCCACTGACCCACTATGGCCTGATGTCACACAGTTTAAGATGCGACAGGTGTGTCTCTCCCTGTGGCCTGAATACTTACGAACTAAGTGGGTACAGCATTATACTACAAGTACTGTACAAGTGCTGGTAAACATTGGTTGTCAAACACACACATTCCCTCTTCACTGGAGATTCACACTCCAGCCCCCATCTGTTTTTACAATAACATTAGAGCTGGTCTACCTGGGCCAAGAGTTACCACTGGTCATATTTGGTCAACTTGAGACAAACACTGGGTAAGAGGCCACCGATGAAGGTCATCTCACGTCGCTTCTATTCGAGTTTATGTTGGACGAAATGGGAAGAAAAAAACACACACATATCCAGTTGAAATTTGAAGTCACATTCATTCTACCCACTCCAGCCCCACACCCAGCCCCCGCTCCTGTCCCTACCCCCAGCTAACTTCCCACTGTTGTGAAATACCAGAGATTCACCACACCTGCACACAAGTCATACCTGTACAACACACACACACACACACACACACACACACACACACTCCATACCTGTGTCATCTCTTAGTTATCGTAATTATTGCCGTTTTCACCTATTTTAAAAAATAAAACACAAATTTTAATATTGTTATGTTTCTGACTTCTTTAGTTGTGTTCTGTAAACATATGAGCCTTAGCGTCACCTGTACAGTACACCGCACCAGTAATGTTTGTCACACTCCAGGTATATACTGTACAGTATAATTATCCTCGACAAGTACAATCAAACACGGATAATGAAGTATACTTATTATAATTTATATTTAACACTGGATATTCTAGTTCGTGCTTTCCTTTCCACCATTCAATGACTTCATGGCGGCTAAGGAGAAAATCAAATCACTAAATATCTTAGAATAAACTTTACGAGACAAGTTTTTATATCAATTCATTTTTTAACATATTAAGCTCCTATCAGCCACACTCCTCCACCCACTTCCTGACCAAGCCCTTACTGAGACAGGAACGAAATATAATACTTTGATATTTGTCACGTCCTTATAGAGTCAATGTAACTTTTTTTTGGTATTTCCTGTTTTACTTTTCAGTACTTGTGTTAGTGTTACGTGTTGGTGTTACGTGTTGGTGTTGGTGTTACATACTGTGAGGTGCTGGTGTTACCTGATGATGTTACGTGTTGTTATACGCTTATCACTAACAACAACACCACCTTATAAAGCGCCGGAGGATACTTAAGTTAGCAGCTCCTCGCCTCATGGTCTGATAGCTAATATCAACACAAGCATCACTGTGAAGGCCGCTGCTGCAGTGCCTCAGATTAATCACAATTCAGCTTAGTGTGTATTTAATTAAAATATTACCCTAGTAATCTTTGCTCTACCTCAATTCCCTGAACTTAAAAGGGTACCACCCTAATATTTCATTAACCTCGTTCACCAGGAAACTCTCCAACCATGACATAAGTGAATAAACATTGTTGCCAAACTAATGAGTCCTCAGTTGTTTTTCAATATCGTTAGAAGATAAAACTATTGTAGATATTTCACGTACAGAAAACACATCTGAAGTTTGTACATGTATAGATCAATTACCTGAACAAAGAAGAACGAAAAACTGAATATTACAAGGGCAAGGCAAGGACGGCAGTTGACGGAGACGAAGACGAAGACAATCCAATTACGACGTGATGGACAGCCGCCTCCCTGCCCCTCACACTATACCGCAGCTTCTTACTTGTACCGCATTGAAATTTCCAGCTATTGATGATGTTTACTTACTGCAGAGGGAGACCAGGCAGTGTGCATGTGAACAGTACCCCTGAGGGCTGCCAGGAAGCCTCTCTCCTGTAGGTGGGGCACACATGCTGACTCACTGCTTGCCTGCCCTCTGCTCCCCGTGTTGACACTACCACCACGCAGGGCCTCGCTACCCAGTCAAGCATCACCAAGCCCTTCGCCACCCAACCCTGCATCGCCTAACCACCCAATCATGTACCACCCATTTCCTCGCCACCCAATTATGCATCACCTAGCGCCAAGCCACCCAATCATGCACCACCCAGTCCCTTGCCACCCAATCAAGCACCACCCAGTCCTTTGCCACCCAATCATTCACCATGTGCCATCTAGCCTCGTCCCACCCAGCCCCATGCTGCCCAGACCCACAGTTTTTTTTTTTATTGGGCACTCCCCTACATCCTTGTGTAAGGTGAAGCGCAGAAGCGTTTACAGTGCCCAACATGGAAGCATGCTAAGGTCATGCTTGCCTTTATGTCTCATGAGTTAAGGGCGTAGAAGCCTGAAGAGTCAATGGTTTATGTCATCAAGTTATTGGAAGCTCCAACAACTTGTCCCTGAATACGAATTCGCAACTTTCGATTTACACCAGGTACCAACTGTACTGCTAGGTGAACAGGGACTAATGGGGGCTAGGAAGTATGTCCAGACAACTTCCACCGGCCCGGGAATCGAGCCTGTGACATCTCGCTTGCGAAGGCAAGAGCGGTACCATTCTACCACCAGCACCCCCAGACCCACACTACCCGGCCCTTCGCTGCCCATGCCCACACTGCCGTGTACCACGCTGTTTTCAACCCAGCATCAAACCTCACCCACCCAGCCCCGAACTACCCATGCCCATTCCATCCAGCCATCACTGCCCTGACTCACACCACCCAGGTCTTCATATGTGACCCAAATCACATAGGAGGCCAAGGCGGTGACTCAGGTCACATAGGAGGCCAAGGCGATGACTCGATCACATAGGAGGCCAAGGCGATGACTCGATCACATAGGAGGCCAAGGCGGTGACTCAGGTCACATAGGAGGCCAAGGCGATGACTCAGGTCACATAGGAGGCCAAGGTTCCTATAATATGTTAGATTCTGATGTGTTGATCGCGTGAGTGTGTGGCAACCGACCAACCTTCCTCCTCCTCCTCTCCCCCTGCGTTACGTCACACCTCACCCCGGGGAAGAAAACAAGAACAAGTCAATTTTTTTCCTTATAAGTGAACGACTGTATACAGGTTGAGGTAATTCCTGCGCTGCGGTTAACGAACACACAGACTTTGGCAGTTAACGAACAAACAGACTGTGGCAGTTAACAAACACATAAACTGTGGCAGTTAACAAACACATACAGCAGACTGAGGGAGTTATCGATCACACAGACTGCGACAGTTAACGAACACACAGATTTTAGCAGTTAACGAACACACAGACTTTAGCAGTTAACGAACAAACAGACTGTGGCAGTTAACGAACACACAGACTGTGGCAGTTAACGAACAAACAGACTGTGGCAGTTAACGAACACACAGACTGTGGCAGTTAACGAACACACAGACTGTGGCAGTTAACGAACAAACAGACTGTGGCAGTTATACACACTAAACAGTTAACACAGCATAGTACTTGCTCCTGGACCAGTATCGCCATCCTCTTCAAACTTATAACCAATTGCATTATTATCAGTGTACAGTATTTTATTTTATTTTACTATTCTGGTATTTCGTCATTAATTGTGTGTGTGTGTGTGTGTGTGTGTGTGAGGGTGGGGATGTGCAAGTCTCAGGCCGGGCGGGGATTCACCCGGGCCTTAGGTTGCCATTTTGCACCTAATTTACTGTAAACTGTTGTTCCTCCCGCCTCCCTCCACACGTATGCGCCATAATTATGTATGGCGTAGAGGTGTGCGCGCGTGTGTGTGTGTGAGGCTTATGGTGTAATGTGTGTCTATTAACTGGACTTATTCCATCAAACTTACGGAGTGACCTTGGCCTTGGGAATCTTTGTGTACCTGGCAGACCTTTTTACCAACTCTTGCATCAGGTTCCATTTTTTGTGGGTCCACTTCCTTACTTCTCGGTAAAGCCGAAGGCTTCTGGTGATCGAAAACCTATGCCTCTGATTTAAACTAATTCTGTGAAGCATTTATCTATTAATGAAGTTTGACAAGAATGCAGCTGTGCGTTGACTAACAAAGGCTTTTGGTATTAACTTAGATAATAATGATATAAACGAAGTTCTCTTGTATGGTAATGATCTCCGTCGTCCTAACAAGACCAGGCAAGACCCTCACGTCACCAGTCACTCGTAAACAATATCTGCTGCCCGATGACGTCGTCCTCACAGTGATCGTCGGGGGAAACTTGACAACTCCTGACATAGTATAAGAGTGTAACAGAGTCGAGTTGATCAGGTTACTCCCCAGTGCTGATGAACTAACAC